TTGGGTTGGAAGAGACCTTAGAAACCATCTCATCCCACCCCCTGCCATGGGCAGGGACACCTTCCACTAGCCAAGGATGCTCCAAACCCCGTCCAACCTGGCCTTGAACACTTCTAGGGATCCAGGGGCAGCCACAGCTTCTCTGGGCACCCTGTGCCAGGGCCTGCCCACCCTCACAGCAGAGAATGTCTTCCTAATATCTCACCTAAACTTGCCCTCTGTCAGTTTGAGCCATTCCCCTTGTCCTGTCACTGTATACCCTTGTAAGAAGTTCTAGGCAGGGTTCTAGTTCAGATTTAGATTTGTCTTCTTGTCATGGATCCCATGCAGACCTGGGACTGACAGTGCTGGCATTGCAGTGAGATATTTTTTCTATGTACCATTTGTTTGTTGTTCACTTTTTTTTTCCTTTTGTAGTATTTATGTTCCTCAAATCCAGGGTCATTGGTCATTACACCAGCAAACAGCACTGCCTTCTCCTCTCTGGCAGGACTTCCCAAGGCTCAGCACTGTCACTGGGTGTTCAGTCTGCTCTGTACATGCAGCCCCTATTGCCAAGCACTGGCTTTTCCATGGAGGCTCCTGTGCAAAGGCTTTTTGCAGAAAATATCCCTGCCTTGTCCGAGTTATGGCACTGATGTTAAGCAAGACTGTTTCTTTCCTGGCACCAGCACTTGTGTTTCGCAAAGGGCTTTTGCTCAGGTATTTAATTTTCAACATCAATTTTCTATCCAAAGTAAGATTCCTCAAATAAACCCAAGGATCTGGGGATTTATTTTTGTACTTACTGGACTGCAGTATTGTGACCAACCCCAAGGAGAACTCAGAGGAGCAACAGTAAAGGGAAGTGAAGTAAATAGTCACGGTTCAGGTTTGCTACAAGGGTCACAAACTCTTCCAGCTGTGTGTGCCAAACCTCTGGTCAGCAGCAGGTGGGCATTTGTGTAGCTCTACCCACAAGTGCAATACTTCTGTCTGAGCTGAAATCTATGCATCAAGTGTGGATGTGCACAGGGAGCACAGAAATTGTTAATAGTTGGGCAGAAAATAGAGCTTTAAATCCAGAGGGTGGGTTTGCTCACAGTCACTGTCAGTGCCTGCTCAGGTCCCACCCTCCCTGGCTGCCTCCTCGAGGTGCCCTGGGGCTGTTTCAGAGGGAATGGTGTGTTTACAAACAGTTAATTGTCAGTGCACTGGAGGTATCTTGGCAGCCCTGGTTGATGGCTGGAAGGTGGAGTGCAGACATTTGACCCAGGACTGGGGGCAGACCTAACTGAGCCCTTAGACCTGGTGTGAGAGCCGGGTGAGGGAGCTCCTGCAGCCCTGGCCCAGCTGGAAGATGCTCTTGGCCATCACTGTGGCTGTGCCAGGGACATCCTGTCAGCAGGAAAAGCTGAATCTTCTGCTTCTCAGAAAATATCATCTCCAGATAATTTCTCAGTTCCTTTTGTTCTCTGTTTCATTTCTGGACTGCTCAAGCTGAGGAAGTTGCAGCCTGAAATGAAGAACCCATTCAATGTAAATGTGTGTATCTATTTTGTGCTATAGGAAGACTCAGTTCAGTGAACCCAGGCCACTGGCATTTCATAATTTCCTCTTGCTCCAGCAGGTAAGGGATTAACCCTTTGTTATTCCTCTCTAAAGGAACAGAGAAAAAGATATACTCTGCAAAACCCCTGATTTTTTTAAAAAATAATAATGCATTGGGTTTTTAAAGAAATATTTTATTGGAACCATAAGGTTTCTTTTTTTGAGAGAGAAAATTTGAAATCCGGAGTTTATTTTTCCTTCAGTGTCTCTCCTAAGAACCAACAGGAATGGAGATATTTTTTTTTCTCTCTTGTGTTTGTGCCTACTTATTAAACACACATGTGGCCTGGATTCCTTGCGTAGGTGCAAAGAGGTTTGGAAAAAAAAGGAAAAGAAAAAAAGGTGTAACCCAGTCCCTTGACCTGTCTCTTTGCCCTTAGGACTCCTTCGAACAGCTGTGAGAAAAAGAAAAGTGGGGAGGAGAGGTACAAAAACGAGGCAGTTTAACAAGCCAAATCCAGATGTTCATTTCATACACACACCCTGAACAGCTTTTGCATGGTTTATTTCGTTTGCTGAAGCCATTTTTCACCAGCCTGTTTTCTCAGCTGGGAAACTTCTGGTGTAGTGTTTTCAAAAAAATATTGCATTTGGCATTACAAGAAAACAGAGCCTTTAAGACATTAAAAGGACAATATCCTTGTTTGACTTGGCCCAGGGAAGCAGGGCTATAGGAATTTTAGATTTTTGTACCACCCAAAGAATAGGTAAAAAAATTTTCCACTCTTAAATTCAGTTTACATGGGAATTTGAGAGTTGATTTAGCTTGATTTTTTTTTCCCTTTTAGAAACTTCTCTGAGGACTTTGTGTTTGTGTAGATGGACTTTATTAGTATGAAGGAGGAATAAGCAAAGTGATACCAATTGGCTTGCTTCTGGATGGTGATGTACCATGGTTCAGAGCTCAGACTGATGCTGAATGAACCTTATTTTTGTTTGGTGAGGAGCAGCTCATGACTTGCTCATTCACACCAACATCCACATAAGCCAGCCAGACAAATTTGAAATTATTTAATACTGGCACAATTTGTTTTTCTTTACCATTCATCTCAGCTGTGTAACAGCACTGACTGCAGGGAGGATGGAGACAGAACAGTGCCTACACTGAGTTTAGAGGTACCCCAAAGGCTGGTAGGTAATGCATGACATTAGGGAAGATCAGGTGCAAACAAGATGTATATAAATACTGCTACCACTTAGCTACTCAAAGGATATATTGCTCTTAGAAACTCAGTGTAAAAGCTCAGCTCCACTGCAGCCAGTGGCTGATTTGCAGTTTGAGGTCCTTCCCAACCTGGTGAATTTGTTGACAGCACTGGTTGTCACTGCAGGACAGTTGTGTCACCCTTGGCTGTGCTCTCTCCAGACTCCCCCCACTGTGGCTCTGCCAGGAAGAGACACTTTGTGTGTCAGGGGAATTCCTTGGCAATATTGTTGCCCTGTTTCCTGGAGATGTGAGAGCTAAGCTGGCAAAGCTGCTCTTTGTCCCCAGAGCACATCCATGCCCTGGCTTTGTGGCAGAAAGGAAGGGAGTGAGGTTTCCTCACTTTCTGAGGTGCCAGTGGGTCAGTGCAGGAGTGGTGCCCATCATCCACTGATGATGCCACGTGTCTGTGCAGCTCCTGGCACATCTCTGCCTCTTTCCAATGCAAGAGCCATGGCCTGTCATAGATGATGATGCTCACAGGAAATCAAAATCCCTGCCATGAAAGAACTCTGTTTTCAACAATACTTTTTTCCTCTCCTGGTTTGTAGGAGTGAAAGAAAAAGTTTTCATTCAGAGGATGACATTGGGGTTGAGGGAGGAGATGGGGATTTCAGAGAGTGATTGTCTATATCAATGCAAAAAATATAATTGGTCCTCTCTGAGTCATGGACTAGTTCAGATTGAACCTGGCATTTGTAGCTCATCTGGCCCCTGCTTAAAAGAGGGGCTGCTTCAAAGGGAGAGAAGGTTTCTCAGGGCCATGTTCTGTCAACTTTTAAAAATCTGCAAGGTTAGGTGTTTTACCATCTTTTTGTGCAACCTGTGCCAGAACTTAACTGTCCTCCTTTCCATTTATTTTTTAATGAAGTAAGGATTTGTCTTGTTGCAAATTGTGTGTTGCCTTTCATCTTTTCACTGTGTGTATCTGAGAGAAGTTGGACTCGATCCTCTGTGTAGCCATCTATCAGGAGTAGAAGGCACCAGTTAGATTCCCTTCTTTAATCTTTCTCTTCTTCAGGCTGAACAAATTCACCTCCCTTATCTTTTCTTATGTGTTTTGCTCTCTTGATAGTCCACTGCTGGATTCAATCTAATTTGTTGATGTTCTTACACTCTGAGGAGGGAAAACAATCCAAAAGTGAAACTGGGCTTTAGTTGTGGTTAATATTTTGTATTAATTGTCTACTCTGTTGACATCAGATGCTCAAGCCTTGGTCATAACAGTAATATAATGACTGTCATTCCAGTGCTGGGAACACCAGGGTGTACCTGCTGGGCCTCCTTGGAAGAGCCTATTTCCTGAACACACTGTGCCCAGGCCATCCTGTCCCACTCCTCTGGCTCTCTGTGATAGCAATACAGTTAATTGTCTCTTTTCTCATTGCTGAACTGACTGGTTTGTCCTGGAGACGCTGAATTTATTTTTTTCTTTCCCAAAGTAAGTGCATACATTCCTATGGACTTTTACAAAGGAATCAGAGACATCTAGGAAACAGGAGTAGAAAGCCCTCAGTTTCTTCTTCTATGAATAATTTAGTGCCAAGTTAACTGAAACATTTGAGAAAGAGATTTTTGGTGCCTAGCTTCATTAAACCCTCTATCCCCAAATGGATTCTCTATCAGTGTCAGCATCCAGCACTTCATCTTGTCCCAGTCACAGCAAAGACCTTGTGGAAATGAAATGCAGGGGAAGGGAGAGGCAAACCAGATTATTGTTGCCATTAGGCATGTCTGTGTGTGTGCACATGTGCTCTATAAACTTACAGTGAGGGAGAAACAGAATCTGTGTGAAAGGAAGGAGTGAAGCCCAAATTGTCTCATCCTTCCAAAACGAGCACTGGTTGGGGTTTGGGGCCACACTGCTGTGACAAAGGGGGTTGTGCCACACTCCATCCCCCTCCTCTGGAGCAGGAGTTTTACTCAGGGCATTATGTTCTCGTCCACTGAGCTTTTCCCAGCACGGGGAGTGGGACCCCCTTCTCTTGGCAGAGGTCCCTGTCAGATCTGTCTCTGCAGCTCGTTCCGTGGGCAGGGCCTCCATCTGCTGCTTGGCAGGGAGGGGAACTTTCCTCTCAAATGTTTTCTCTCTCCCTCTCTCTCCCCCTGTTTAAGGTATACCCTTTGGAAATCGACTTCCAAGATTTATTTTTGCACAGGGGACATACTTTGTTTTACATGCTCTGGCTTTCTTTTCTTTCCACAGGACACCACCCCCATGCCCTGCTTGTCCTGGCAGAGGGAGAGGATGCTGTTTGCCTGAACGTTCCCTTCAGTGTGCAGCAGGTCTAAAGATGTGACAAGTACACATGCTAATCCCTTTTCCTTGCAGTTAATAGAATAACACAGCTGGGAAGGTTTACATTGGGATCTGACACTCACTCCAAGCTCAAGTTAAGGAGATGGGGTTGGACACTGCATTTCAGATCAGATCATTACTGCACAAACTCACCTTCCTACTCAGCATCAATTTTCTCCTGGTACCCTAAACCCCATTTGTTTTGCTAAGAATGTCCCCCTTCCCCTTCTATTCTCCTTTTGAGAGCAACATGTAGAGTTGGATACACCTTCAAAAGCTGATGTAGAATGAAATATTCCCCAAGAATCAGTGATGTTCAAGTGAAAAAGTGTCAACGTTTTCCACTGTAACACCACCATTTGTTTTGAAATGGTGACTTTTTAAACATTTGGCCTTTCTGAGTGTTGAAATATCATGTAAGAAAATAATTCCCACCAAAATTATATACCTTCTTAGAAATATTAAATTGATTTCAGTAAAAATTCCATATTACCAGTTTTGTCATGTCTAATCTGACTGTTCATATTTTTCATTCTGTTTCCTGTTTCTTTGTAGCCACTTTGGTATGTCCTCTGCCATTCTGTGTGACACAGACCACTTGGGAATTTGCAACCCTGACGAATTGCCCCTTACAAGATTCCTGCAGGAAGCACACAGAAGAACAAAACTTTGGATTATGCCTGTGATGGGAAAAGCTGCAGCGATGACTGACTGGAAAGGCTGATCCTTCTCACACCAAATACCACTGCCTTGCCACCAGGTATGCACCATTTCACAATGTCTGTCATAAGAACCTTCTGCCAGCTCCCCATGAACCCTCAAGATCAAGATTCTGATTACTAGGAAGTCCTTAAAATTAAGGTTTTGAGAGTATCTCTGTAGTGAGAGGAGTATCTGGGATCTGTTCTTAGCTACATGTGGGCCTCAGGGTGTAAATTATTTTCTACAAATTTAAAAAAAAAACAAACTCAATTCAGTAAACAAAACTTTATGTTAATTAATGAAAATAAGATCAAAAATGCAATTAAAAATGTATTTTTCACTGAAAAAGACACGATTTTACTGAACTTACTAGCAATGAAAATACTCAATTTGTACTGGAAACTGAGCCTTAAGGTTTTCATAACCACAAATACATTGTTCGTGGGAAGCACTCAGTGACCTGCTTTCTGATTAGAGAACTAACATTTGTGCCTGAGAATCGCTGCCTGCCTGTTTCAGCTCATTTCTTTCAAATTGGGCAGTTTCAGAACTGCTTTTTCACTTTGCTTTCGATACTTCTCCATAAATTTCAGAGCAGAGAGGATGTGTACCTCGGTCAGCCTGGGACCTTCCCATAATTGTGACAACTCACTAATGCCTCATTCAGAAATCAGGATCTCAAATTCAAAATTCAGGATGTTCCTCCCCAGCCTGGCAACAGCTCTGAGGTTCATTCATGCTGCACAGACCATGCAGAGGAGGAAAAAGAGCAAGCTCAGTTCAGAGAAGCTCAAAGCCTCAAATTCAAGTGAAAGGTCCATCTAGGTCAATAAAGAAGGGCTTCCCCATCAGGAGCATGAGGAAGACCTGCCTAAATTAGAGGCTTGTAGAAGCTCTGATCTGATTTTGGAGGTGCCTTTCTTACTTCACTGTAGAAAAACCTGAACCAGCAACATTTTGACCCAAATTTGTCAGTCAGGGGAGTCCAGGTTGCGATTCCTACAAGGACCAACATCCCCTTAAATTCTGGTGGATGTTCAGTCTCCTTATTTGGGGCAAGGTCTAAATGCTTTTGTCATCCTGACCTTTACTCTTTGTTGCAATTGCACTTCTGACTCCTTGACCAAGAGCTCTCACAGGGCAGAGCAATTAGTGCCCATCACAAGGAAAGCTTTTGCAACATGGGTGATTGCCCACAAGAAACACAGTTGAGACCACCAACAGTTTTATTTGTTTTTCTTCCAATTTCTTCTGATCGAGAAGCTCATGAGACACATCTCATTTCCCTGGAGGTCCCCAGGGAAGCAGTGGTCAGACAGTCCCTTTTCCAGCCTGCTTTGGGCAATGCTGGTGTACAGCACTGCTCTTGGGTCACTGTGCTGCTGGACCTCTCAGCACAGGCAGTCACACAGATTATTAAAGTCTGCCTAATTGAAGTCTGATTCGATGCAACTGGCAGCTTATTTCAGCCACCAGACTTTTTGTTTGATGGTAAATGCTTTAATTCACCATGGCTCGGAGGTGATTTGAACAAGCTACCCAAAGAAAAAATGGTTTAGTGTTCTGAGCTGCAGGCTGTGAAGAATGAAACAAGGATCTGTCCTACTGGAGGTGGTGCTAGAGAGGCTCCATTATGGGGGGGGAACCCCTGTCCTGGCCTGTTTGAAAATAGCCCCCTGCTCACTGCAGTGTCAGGTGGAGGTTTTCAGATCTAGATCTGTCTGCAGACTTCAGTTTAAAAAGTTCAGATGCCTTTGCACTTCTCTGCACTAGGGTATCACAGAATCATAAAATACCCTGAGCTGGAAGGGACCCACAAGGATCTTCCAATCCAGCTCCTGGCCCTGCACAGGACACCCCAAGAATCCCCCCATGTGCCCGAGGGCGTTGTGGGTTGTGCCCACAGGTCCTGCCCAGGGCAGTGGGGAACATCCACATGGCATCAGCCTTTGCTACTCTGAGCAGGAATTCGTATCCCTTGGGATCACACCCCTCTCTGTTTCCTCCAGTTGGAGGGAGGTCAATAATTTGCTGGTGGCCATTTAACCTCAGGAGGCCTTTTTGCCTTCCCGTCTCCTGCCCCACACAGCCTGAGATGCTCTTGCCAGCAGGCTGAGCTGAGGCTTCTCTCATTTCCTCCCTGTAATTCCCCTCTTGGATGGGAAAGGCTGGGAATAGATTAAACTCACCTCTTCCTCTGGGGCTGCACTGTCTGTCCTTGCTGTGCACGGGAACAGAACAAGTCCCACTGAGTTCTGGGGCTGATTCAAACAGAGGCAGAGCCTTCACTTTAACTGCACCTTGATAGGAATATCTCAGAATTCTGCCATGTAAATAAAATATGCCAGCACATCTACCTTCTAAAACTGTCTCTGCTATAATTAGGACTTGCCTGTACTGATATTAGTTGTAGTGTTTCCACCAAGTTTAGTTTGGTCTGGGTTATCTTAGAAATGAGTTTGGATGGTGTCATTGGTGGTTCTTTGTCATCTTCTTGAATTCAACCTATTTTCATAAAAGAAAGATCTTTGCTTCCTCAGGCCATAGGTGCAGCACAGACCTGATTCCTGTCACCTTGTAAGCCACAAACAGTTACAAGATCATGTCCACTACTAGCTGTAAAATCGTTTTTTTATAAAAATGCCCCAATTATCCCCAAAGTGTGTTTTGATGGTGGGGCTAAGGCACAGCATGAATGCCGTTTCATTTAAAGCACACAATTAAACACATGTGTGTGTAGATTATAGAACTGTTTGGGAAAAACAGCTTGAAGATAAACATCCAATGAGCCATTTGTCTGTTAAGATAGCCTATGTTTATTCTCATTCCAGAGATTGTGTGTCTGATCAAACCAGATTTATAACAAAACATTCAAAATATAGGTTATTTTTGGACTAGGAGAATAAAGTTTTCCTCTGCCACAATGCCTGCAGAAGGAGCTGGCAGTGCCAGGGAACACGATGTTCTGGGCCTCCTGCTTATCACAGTTGTCCCATAGGCCTCTTTCATTTCTTGTTTGTTTGTCTCTGTCTCTCTCTTGTCCTACATTTAGATTTTAAGCTTCTTGGACAGAGTGTGATTTGGCATTCATTGTTCCAACAGTCAGAGATTTATTCCAGAGGAGCTCTGGACTTGGGACCAAATGATGATGATAATAGGGATTGAATGTAAGACACAAAAGAAAGCTCCACAGCTGAGCCTGAATTTGAAAATGCAACATTATGGAAGGTTTCTAAGAAAGCACACATTTTGCAGAGCTGGGTTTAGTTCCTCTTTCAGTCTGTGATGAATTCCAGGGAAGAGGTGACCACACACTAGCAGAGTTTCCTCCTGGTGACACCTCTGTGAGGGCATGGCAGAGAACATTGGGCAACACACTTATACTTCATGTGACCTCCCTTTGAGTCATTTGTCCTGTTGGCACCAGAGCATCTCCCATCCCATCCCATCACTTGCTTTCTGAGAATTTAGTTGGTTTTTAGGTTTCTTTTTCCTTGGCACACTTCTCCCTCCCTTCACCTGGTGCCAGTCCTGCCTCGTTCCTTGGCACCTCTGTGGTACCTTTTTGGACTTCAGTGCCATTTGCAGAGCCCAGTTGTGCCCCTGGAACACAGTCCTGGGCAGAGAGGAGAGGGAGGTGGGTTAGAGTGGCATCATTCCTGGAAGACCAGCAGGAGATGGAAGGTGTCCATGAATTCAGGGCTGTTTTTCAGGCAGACTAAATTCTACCTGTGTTCTCGTGCCTAATGTTATCCACAGGATATTCTGGACCTTCAGGGTTGCCAAACCAATAGGAAACCAAAGCTGAAGTAGGAGAATTAGATGGAATACAGCTGTTGGAGGCCACATGAGTCCTCACAGTCATGGAACTTACTGGCACAGCTCTGTGAATAATGGGCTCTTTTCGTGCTCTGACAATTCCGAAAACATGCAGCAAAATATTTGTGAAGAACTTTGAATGTATTCAAAACAATCTGTCTTTAGAAAGTGTGTGAACTGAAAAGCTGTCAGCCTGCCTTCCTTAGCCAAATGAGAAATTTACTTTAATTTTTGTTCATTTAGTTGGTATTGTTAATTTAACTTCTTTTAAGCTTTAAATAAAAAAACCCACAAAGTTTAAAATTATGTTTGAAAAATGCAGATATTTCCTTTTGAAAACTAAACATCTAAATGTTCTTGCACTGGTTTTATAGTTTGAGAAGGGTATTTTAAACCACTAGGTTTTGCAGCAAGTAGTGCAGAGCTGAGGAACATTTTGTTTGATCAGAAAGGAGATATTGGTGAAATCTTTGCTGTAACACTTTGACCAGCTGTAGGCATTGACCTTGTCTCTTCTCCCTTCCTGAATAAATTAAGACACTACCAGAGGCAGTGCAGGGCTTCACTCAAGGCAGGAACTGTAATATTCTTTGGTCCTAAACTGTGCAAGTAGGAGAAAGGTTTCATCATCTCTGTTGCTTGGGATTTTTGGTTTTCTGAGGGATTATGATGTAAAACTCTCCACACTGCTGCCAGAAAGGCAAACAGTCTGAGGAGAAAGGGACTCTGTGTGCTCTGAGTGACAGGACAGTGTCTCATATTGCTGCACAGGATTGTTTTGTCTCAGGCAGAATTGCCAAAGAGCTGTGGGTTTGTACTGCTCAGGTGCTCTCTGCACATATTTACATACAATGGAAAAAGGGGTCTACCCACCCAGTCCCCAAGAAATAAATGAAAGTCACTTGCAGAACAGATATTCCTCTGTGATCCTCCTTGCAGATGAGAAGTGCAGTTAAAGGGGTGGAAGAAGGGTTAATGGTGGGACCTTCACTTGGAAGTAGGCCACTGTAAAATATATAAATGACCACAAAGAGTGGAAGGTGAACAATTACAATTTCTTTAGAACAAGGAGGCTGCTGATGCTTCTCCAGGAACTCAGGGTCAGGTCCAGGTTCACACTCACTGTCAGGCTCCTCTTCACTAAGTCCCAAACTCATCTGCAGAAGTGACTCAGTGGAATAATTTGCCACTTGCCTTGGATGACCCACAGATGTCCTGGGATGTCCAAAAATGGAATAT